TTGAGCCTTCTCATACTTCTCATGTTAGCTTGGGAGAATAATAAGATATCATCAGCAAATAAGAGGTGAGACACTATAGGTGCATTGGCTGAAATTTTGATACCCAAGTTACTTCCTCTGAACCAAAAATCATTGGTTAATAGTTGAGAACAAAGGATAAACAAATACAGTGAAAGTGGACAACCTTGTCTAAATCCACTATAAGCTTTAATCCCTTTAAAGATCTTACCATTGATTTTTAAAAAGAATTCAGAAAATTCTACACATTCCATGATGAAATTCAGAAATATGTTTGGAAATTTCATTTCCTGCAAAATATATCTCAAGGTATCCCAAGCCATACTATCGTAAGCTTGTTCCATGTCAAGCTTAATAGCAACCCAACCTTCTTTAGATTTAGAAATTTTGAGCTTATTAAACAATTCTTGAGCTAAGAGAATGTGGTTAGACAAAGATCTACCTTTTATAAATGTTGTTTGCTCCTCTGAGATAAGACGATCAATCACTTTCATAAGCCTATTTAAGATCATTTTGGCTATGATCTTATATAAGGTACCACACATGCTTATAGGTAAAAAAGCAGATGGAGAAATTGGATTTTGTACCTTTGGGATGAGGGTAACAAGCATTTCCTTCCAGCTTGAACAAATCTGCCCTGTTACAAAAAATTGCTGGACTGCTTTCAATACATCATTACCAGTTATATACCAATACTTTTTGAAGAAATAATATGTTGTACCATCCATTCCAGGAGCAATATTACTTCCACTTTCATTGATAACAGCAACAACCTCTAAAAATGAAAAATCTTCATCTAACATTTTACAATCAGCCACAGATAAGGAATTTAAAAACGGAGGCCAACCCTTCACATTGCCAGTTCTGCTTCTCCATTTGTTGTTAAAGTATTTCAATAGAATTTCTTCAATAGCTGCATGGTCTTCTATTAAATTTCCTTCCTCATTTTTCAGTTGATGAATAAAGTTTCCCATTCTTCTACCATTTACAAAAGAATGAAAAAATTTGAATTTGTATCATTATCCTGAATCCATTTTAGTTTTGTTCTTTGTCTCCACCATGTGCATAAACGAGCTGAGTTCACATTATAATCATGAATTTTTGCTCTAAGCAATTCCAGCTTCTCTACTTACAATCCATTACCATTAGCTTCTTCTAATTGAAGATCCGCAATTTCTCTTTTCAAACGAATATTGCATTCTTTGAAATTTTGTAATTTATGTTTACTCCAAAAGTGCATTGCTTTTAAAGTTCTTTTACACTTGACTTTAACAATCTCCATGTTATTCTCTTTTACAGGTTTGTTCCATGTTTTTAAAACTATCCCTTTAGCAGCAGAAAACAAGGACCAGACGTCTTCATAGCAAATCATCATACTTTGGTACAACCTTTCCTGAGTAATTTTAAGAATTAATGGACAATGATCGGAAGCAATTCTTTGCAAGTGTCTTACCACAGGATTTTGAATCACATTCAACGCCTTTGAGTTTAAAAGACATCTATCCAATCTTTCAATAATACGAGATTTTCCACTTGTGTTGTTGCACCATCTGAATTTGGGTCCTCTAATTCCCACATCATGAAGGTCATTTCTTGCCATAAATGCATCCATTTCTTGAGGACCTTGAGAAAAAGAGAATTTCATTCCACCTCTCTTTTCTTCTTATGAAAGTATACAATTAAAATCCCCTCCCACTACCATAGGGATATTTTTGGTGCTTTTATGTTCTAAAACTTCCCACAAATTCCTTCTCAAATTTGAATTTTTGTTTCCATATATTGTAGAGACCAACCATTTATTATTATTGAAAATAATTAATTTCCCAATCACACATTGAGGTGAGGCTTCTATAAGAGTAAAATTTGTGGTATTGTTTTTCCAAAATACCATAATACCTCTAGAAGCTCCAACTAAGGGATATAGAAAATAATCCCAATCATCACCCAAGCATTTATTTACTTCATACCTCTCAAAAGAAGAAATTTTGGTTTCAACCACCCCAACAAAAAAGACATCCCAATTGTTGAGTCTAGTAATTAGGTTGTTAAGCCTAAGTGAGTGTCCCAAGGCTACCAAGAGGGGGGGTGAATTGGAAGATTAAAAAACAAAGTTAAAATTTAAGACCCCCTTTTTATAATTATTGAACCGAAATAAAATCTCTTTTAAATTTTGTAGAAAAAGGTTTTTCAACCACAGAGTTGTTTAAAGCTGAAATAGAAAGTGCGGAAATATAAAAACAGTAAAGTAAATGACACCAGATTTATAGTGGTTCGGTCTATAACCATACCTACATCCACTCCCCAGAGGCACCCTCTGAGTATTGCACTAATACTAATAGTGACTCTCCTTTTGCACCCACAGCAAGGCGGAGAAGCCTTTACAACACACTCTTTTCACCACTCCCCGGTGCGGCAGAGAACCGTCTGTCCTTTTACAAATCCCCAGTGTTGGCAGAGAACCGTCCGTCCTTTCACACTATCCCCAGTGTTGGCAGAGAACCATCCATCCTTTCA